GGCACTGTGCTAAGTGCTTTACAAATATCATCTCATTTCATCTTCACAAAAACCCTAGAAAATAGGTGTTATTATTCTCCCCATTTTACAGTCAAGGAAACTGAGGCTGAGTGAGGACAAGCAATTTGCCTGGGGCCACAGAGCTAGTAAATGCCTGAGGTCAGATTTGAATTCAAGTCTTCCTGACTTCAGGCCCAGAGCTCTATCCACCCACCCACCCCCAGATCCCTCTAATTAGAATCATTGTCTTTTGTCAGTAATAGACAATGTGTTTAAATTTCTCAACGTGTGGATGGCCAATCAATTCTCGCATTTTCTAGCAAGGCACCCTGCTCCCATCAATATTTTCACAGAATGACAGTTCCCAGGAAGGCAGAGGGTCTTACTTAAGTTAACAAATGATTATCTTTCACAATAATGAATAAAGGACCCTACCTAATGAATCTGTTAAATCTCTTCCCTATTTAGAGACATTAGCCCAAGTGCCCTTGTAATATATCTACCTATGGTTTGTACCAGTGAAATTCACAAAGGCTACACGAGTCCACGCTATAGGGGCCGGATTGCGATAGCAACAGGACTCCGTCTTTCCCTGATTGCCAGTATTTCAAGGTAGTATCATCACTACTGGAGTATTACATTTCCAGCTTTAGCTAACCTGGACTGATTATCCATTAATCACCAAGTAATTATAGCATGCCTGTGCTAGGTGCAAAGGAATAAGGCAGTGAGCGGTGGGGGTGAGGGGTACAGAAGTGTAAGAAACCATCCTCCCTTCCCCAAGTATCTTATCATTTAGTTGGTGAGTCAATACTTACACATAGGAAACAAAGATAAGAGATACAAAACGGGGTGTGACCGAGGGCTGAATTTTGTGGACAAGTCCTGTGGTGCCTAAGAGGAGAAGGAAACAGGGAAAAGCAAAAGGGGCCAGAAAAGTCTTTGTGAAAGAAATAGGCCTTGACCAATGGGTAAGATGCAGGTGGCTGAAGAGGAGGGGAAGGGGAGGACAGCAGGTAAGGGAAACAGACTGAGCAAAAGCCTGGGGGCTGAGCGTAGCATGTTAATGCGACAGAGAAATCAGCCTAATTATCAAAGAGGCTGTGGGGTGGCAAATAAGGTTGTAATGTTAGACTGGAGACATTTTATGGATCCTGTAAGAAAGTCACAATAAGGAGTCAATTCCAGTTAATTTAGGCCACTGGCAATTGTATGATCTTTCCCAAAGAACATTTGGGCTTCAAAGTGGTTTGAGGGGGCAGTGCAGCTGAATTGGGTAGGGATGTAGGATGTGAACAGACATCATTGGAGGCACAGTAGAAAAAGCTCTAATTGTAGAGTCAGAGAAGCCAGATTCACATTCCACCTTTCATGCTCACTACCTCTGATAAGTCACTGAACCTCCTTGGGCCACCCATCTAATCTATTGCCCAAGGCCAAAAGTTCCACCTGAAGACTAGGGAATTATAAAGAATTTCTTTGAAGGCTGGGTCAGCTGTGATTTAACTTGGGAAAATGGTATAAATTCACTTATTAAGAAGCCCAGTGTCTTGTTGTATTATAAATAGTTCTGAATTAATTTCCTTCCCCAAATGCCTACTTTTTCAAAAGGTGCAATATTGCACCATCTGCCTAACAAAGGAATCTAAATGTCACCAACTACATGAGGAAATGTAACTGGCTGCTGAAGACTCTGGCTTATTATTACAGTACTTAATAAAATAACAGTTTAGCATTAATAATTTGTACTTATATTGCATCTAGGGACTCAAAATGCTTTGCATATATTAACCCTTGAACCACCTACAAAGGCTTGTAAAGAGGTGTGATCTATAGGAGTATTCCCTTTTGAAAGATGGAGAAACAGAGTCATAAAGAGTTTGAGGGGAATTTACCAAAAAGTCAGTGAGATTCTATTAGAAAATAAGGGCTCCACTTACTTTACCCTAACTTCTGACAGATTGATCATCAGTCAGTCACCAAGCCCTCATTTAGTGCCAAGTACCATGCTAGGGACTAGGGGTACAAATGCAAAAGTGAACATTCTTTGGCAGAGGGTAAGGGTGATATAACATATTCACAGATAAATACTAAAATAATTACACAGTTAAAGACGGGGAGTTGGAGGGAGGGGAGGAGAAGAGGGGCACCTTTTGGGAGCCAAGGGTTTCAAGAGACAGATCTCCTCTTCTAGAGAACACAAAAGTTATTCAATGTCAAGTCTCTGAACGCTGTGAATTACGCAATTTTCCTGTTCTTTTTCATTTATTCAGTATGAAGCCAAGGCTGAGGCTGGGCCCCACACTGAGATCTGCTTTTTTCCCCCCTTAAAACCCTTTTGGTTTCCAAGTATATTTTATATTGGACAAGAAAAAAAAATGAAACTATAGATATGGAAATAATTCCAAGTCAATATCTTCTTACCTACATGGGGTATAGGGAAGTAAGGAAATTCCCTCGGGCAGTTCGGAAAAATAAGCAAGTGTCTGTGGCTATCAGATGACAGACCCAGAGTAGGAAGCTGTTGATACTAGAGTTTCTCTAAAATGGTATCCTCAAGGTCTAAAGATATAGATGACACCAAGTTAGAATAAGAATCTCAAAATGTTCCTGGCAACTGGTTCCCTTTAAACTCCTTTGGGTTCCAAAATAGGTCTGTATTATTCTGAAAACTGGCCCTCATCACTTCTTACCTGAACTATTACAACAGTCTCCTAATTGGACTCCTGGCTTCCAGTCTCTCTACTCTGTGATACGTCATCCACATGGCTGCCAAGATATTCTTCCGAATTCACTAATCTGCCCTGATAGTCAGAATTGACTACATTTCAGAAAGCATTACCATCAGAAACATAGGCGTTTCTCCTTTCCTTCCTGCCCACCCCCCAAAATGCCATGACTATTGAATAGAAGTGTTATTAGGGCTGGGAACTAGTGACTGAAATGTCAACTTGGATTCAATCTGTACTTAAGTTTCTTCAAGGACTTTAGTAATCCACGAGAGTGAGGCCTGGTGGCCACTGCCAACAGACGCATGCCTACCACCAGCCCTGGTTAAGGCCTCTGGGGACATTCCTAGCTCAGCATCCATTCCCAGTGAGCTAACAGAAGCCCCCTCCCGCTATTCACCAGGTAAAATAACAATCACCAGCACCCTAAAGAAGTTGCTTGCCATTTTAATTCTCCAGGTTACATCGCTCCTGGATTGATTTCTCTTTTACTGTTACCCCTTCAAATTGCTGAGTGAAACATGCCACCCGCTTATCGCTCCCTGAAGAGTTGCAAGAGACTTACATTTTGACAAAACATTTGTACAATGCCATGTGAGCTGCAAGGGGAGCTTACTTCCTCAAACCTCTGAGAAGGCTTGTCCTATGTTACTGACTAATCTTTCTGTTGAATTTTACAGGAAAACAAACGTCTCTGAGTTTCTCTCTAATGCCTTTTTCTGAGTTTGTCTCCACTGCCGAGTCCACAGTTGTCTGTGAAAGTTAATATTGCCCAGGCCCTGGGTGGGATACCTTTCCCAGAAATCATGTTCTCAATGGGAAACTGAAACAGTGCACAAGAGTTACCCTAAGTAGATTTAAATAATTAAATTCAAAAATCCTCAAACCGCTTGCTGTTTCAAATTTATTTCTTTAATAACAACTCAGCCTCAGCAACATGCTGGATTAAGATTTCATTTATTTGAAATTTAAGGTATATCCAGTGCTGAGTGCTGTTTTTAAGTATTTAAGGGGAAAATTTGTGCTTGGTGCAAATGAAGAGACTGCGGCATTATAAATTCATTTCCTCTATTATAAAACAGGCCATGAGCATACACTGCAGCTGTGCAGAATCCAGGAGATGCTCTACGGCAGGATCCCCAAGCTCGCACCAGGCAGACGACCCTTTGTTTCCCCACAAAAGGAGCCCAGGCCTTTCCCGAACTCCAAGCAAGAAGTGTGTCCTTCCCAATACCTCCCACTGGCCCTTGGGGGATGGGAGAGTGGTTTTAATGGAGTACCAGAAAGCATGTTTGGGGATCTCAGCCCAAGCCCGAAACATTCATTTTCATCCCAGACCTGTGCCTGACCCTCAAGGTCAAAGGGCAGTGTGGTATGAGCCGAGCCAAAGCTGGCTGACCTCTGGAATAACCCAAGATTATTAAATTTGGCCAAGAAGGGGGGGGGGGTTTCCACTGGGCAAGGAACAGGTGTTACCTTGTAGGTAATCGCTCAATGGTAGTTACTATTCACACGAACAATTTTACAAACAAGTGAGTTTCTTATACGTTCTTCCCCGCCTCTGGGTGTTCGTATTCCTTTTAAGTACAGAAACCTTAATTAGATTTTGACCACAGACCCCGGATTTGACTTTCCCTGACAGGGTTTCCATTAGTGTAATCTGTAGGGGAATTCACTGTTTTAACATCTGTGTGCCTGAGGCCTATCTCACATTCACTGCAAAAGTCTGAAAAGCCTTCCTCGTAAGACTGTATGTTTCTTCATGCTCCCAATTTCACAGAAGTCATTTCAGCACCAAACAGTAATTAGCAAAGGGATGGGCCTCAGCTGATATGAATGCAATTTATTGTTTTCCATGAGGCCCTGCATTGAGCAAACAAAGACAGTCTTGCTGTCTGGCATTTTATTAACTTGTATTGTGCTGTGTACCTTCCTAAAGGGAGATCTCCCAGTGAAATCCAGCAGGCAGTGTGCGGCAACATGCATACTTTGGAAGAATATTAATTTCAGTTCAATTAGGCAAGTTTTGTGGGACCGCCTGTAATGTAGGACAGCCACTTTTATAATTATCTTCCATATTAACTTTATCATCACCAGACTTCTGCATAAATGCAACCTTTCATCTGTAAAATGCCAACACTTCTTCAATTTTGGCAACCGTACAGCACGGCTAATTATTTGCTCATTATGTGTGGTTAACTGATGAATCATTAATAAATGAATGAATGGCTAATATATTTTTATGGTAATTGGAGATATAACTGATTGCAGACTTCCTCAGCTTCTCAAAACTGAGCTGAGTGAGCAGGAGCTGCCTAATTGTTTACAGATGATATTGATGACCCCGCCCAGGTTTGTGCACAGTTGTGGTTTATTACTGGTGAATTATCATTCCGTGGGGACCATGGAGGCACCAACTATCCTCCTCGTGTGCAAGAGGTAGCCCAATGACTCAGCTTGCTTTCCTATATGGCTATCACCCCAGCTGGCACACGCTTACAAGTGTCTCCTTGTAATTCTGAAGATTTTCATGAAACCCTCATGCTTTAAAAAGCCTTGGCAGGACCACGGGCCATGGGGCTCTTTTTCTCAGCATTCTGGACTCTTGTGACTCCCCCTAGAGTCAGAAAACTTTAAAAATAAGTCCATGTCTTGCTTGAGAGCCCTTTGATGTTTATTCCAAAGAAGGGTCATAGAATCATAGATTTTGAGCTGGGAAGGGACCTTTCAGACTATCTAGTCTAAAACCCTTCCCCTCCTCTCTCTCTCTCTCTCTCTCTCTCTCTCTCTCTCTCTCTCTCTCTCTCTCTCTCTCTCTCTCTCTCTCTCTCTCTTTCTCTCTCTCGCTCTCTCTCGCTCTCTCTCTCTCTTTTCAAACAGATGAAGAAACTGAGGTTCAGAAAATTGATGTTACTTACTTGAGGTGACACAGTAAATATCAGTAGGCCCCTCCCTGAAGTGTGCATGGCCAGCTAGCTGTCTTTATAGCTAATGGGCAACAGAAGAATTGACCAAAGTCAGGTTGAAATTCCAGAATTCCAATGTCTCCTGCATTAAAGGGAAGAAAATGAACTCAACTTCACAATGTCTTGCAAACTATAGGTGCCTTATAAATGCTTATTGAATTGCATTCAATTGAGCCCTTGTTGACATGATCTTAACACCATTTACTGAAGTGTTGGCTTATATAATCTCTTGCTTCCAGTATCCACAGATAATTGCATAAAATATTCTTTTCAATAAATCACTCACTGCCTATAGTTTCCAAACTGATTTTTCAAGTGCTTGACAATTCCACATGAAGATGGAAGGTGGAAGAATAGCCAAGTAAGACTGCATCAGCATCACAAGCGCAGACAGAAGATCAAGTGAAAAATGCAAAGGAGATTACCAATTCTTAATTATAATTATTTAACCAGGTGGGTAGTTTCTCCTAATGAACATTTCCATGAAAACAGAATAACTAATGACTGTCTTAAAGAAGTCTTTGTCTTTCCATGTACTAATGATCACATTTATAAATATGCAGTAAGGCCCCCATGTACATTGCTAATGATAAGTAATTAAGCACCAGGCGTGGGAAGCCAGTGAGAAGGGTCATGTTAATGCAAGAGAGGAAATTAAAAATGCAATAAAATAAGTTGCCTAGAAAAGATTAAATAAACTTTGGGCTTCTTCACCTTCCAGAAAGAAAAGAACATTTTTCCCAGGTGCACTCAGGCCAATGTAAACTGGGTGTCAGGCTTAATAAGGGGCAGGTGAAGATCTGTTGATACTGACCAAGGTGTCAAGGTACCTCTCCATCTGTGTGACCATCTATGATGCATCCAGCTTACGTTTAGTGTCTATGTAGAAGCTGAACAACAGAGGGCGAGTTTGTGTTCACAGGAAAAAGGAAGCGGTCTGTTTAATGTGATACTTTGTTGTTGGTTTGTTACTAGGATCCCAGATTTACAGCTGGAAAGGACCTGGGATATCCTGGGCTCCAAAAGAGGTGAAATGACTTACTCAAGGTCACAGAGATAGTAAGCAGCAAAGCCAAGATTCCATCTCCTGACACCAGATTCAGGAGTCCATCTCCCCTAATGCTTGTTTATTAAAACTACATTAACCTTCCCTGTGCTGAACTTCAGTTTCTGTTGCACAATTCCATAATTAAGGGGAGGGGGCAGAGAGGATGTATTCTGGTAGTTAAAATTCCTCTTTTCCATAGGTCTTATAGCTGATGGCCCAAGAGATTACATTTGCTACATCATTTAACAGTTTTCTTAGACATGATAATCCAATCTAAAAGATACAAAACCCTTTCCCTCTGAATTTGAAACTGAGAAAGGTACCAATTCCTTTTCCATGTAGCATCATTGGGAGGCTGTGTGGATAGAGGTCTGTTCCTAGAGGAAGGAAGGTTAGTTGTCCTTCATTCTCAAAGAGGAAGAAATGACATCACTACATTGGGGTCAAGGTACAGTGTGTCCCACTGTGGCTGATCAGCCAGTATCAGTTCAGAAGGCTCTACCACAGGTTGGGTACAAATAGTCCATATGAGTATTCAGAGTACAGATGTGTCTAAATTTGTGCATCTCATGTTTCTTTTGAGTCATTGCAATTCTGCTTTGCTCATAGAGTCATAGAGTACAGAACCTTCTCTGATGTGGACACACCATGCTGGGCAGTGCTGTGCCAGTGTCTCCCATGTCTCATAATCAATTCCAAAATTCTCAGGAGAGACCTTGAGAGTGTCCTCGTATCACTTCTTCTGACCTCCATGTGTTCTTGCCTCACAGCAAGAAGGAAGGAAGGAAGGAAGGAAGGAAGGAAGGAAGGAAGGAAGGAAGGAAGGAAGGAAGGAAGGAAGGAAGGAAGGAAGGAAGGAAGGAAGGAAGGAAGGAAGGAGGGAGGAGGGAGGAGGGAAGGAGGAGGGAGGGAGGAGGAAGAAAGGAAGGAAGGAAGGAAGGAGGGAGGGAGGGAAGGAAAGAAGGAAGGAAAAGAAATAAAGAGAAAGGAGGGGAGAATGAAGGAAGAGAGGGAAGAAAAAAGGCAGGGAAGGAGGAAGAGAGGGAGGGAGGAAAGAAAAAAGGCAGTGAGATAGGAAGCGATGGAGGGAGGAAGGAGGAAGGGAGGAAGGAGGAAGGAAGAAAGGAGGGAAGAAAGAAAGGAAAGGAAAGGAAGAAAGAGGGTAGGGAAGGAAGGAGGAGGGAAGGAGAGAGGGAACGAGGGAGGGAAGGAGGAAAGGAAGGAAACAAGCATTTGTTAAGTGCCTCCTATGTGCCAGACACTGTGTTAAGCACTTTACCAATAAGATCTCATTTGAATCCTGACTCCAACACTCACTAGGTGTATGACTATGGGCACAACCCTTAGTCCTCCTGGGGCTCTGTTTCCTCATTTGTAAAATGAGGGGTTGGAAATGACAAGCGCTAGGTCCCTTTCAGTTCTTCATCTATGATCCATGAATGAGAATGGAACTTGGAGACTTCTACATAAGGACCTTTGGAGAAAAAAAATTCATAGCCTTGATTTTAAATCCTCACTTTTAAAATGATTGTGGCATCAGAGATCTTCAGCATTAACAATATCCTAGAGATGAAAAAACAGTGACTTTCTCGGGAAGAAAAGAGTGACTTGCTTTTTTCTCCACAATACTTTTAAATGAGGATAATTTTGGAACTTTTTCAAAAGCGCCTTAGCCTAGCTCTACAACCCTGAAGATTTTTCTCCCCCAAACATTTCAGACCCATTGATCTCCTCTCTCAAGAACTTCACATTCCAGAGCTCTTCTTTGTGGCTAATCCCTCTGTGGGGGGAAATCTCATTTTCTGCATCTGTAGTCCAGGGTTAACAAGAAGGCAACCTTGATCTAAAGGAAATAACAGCAACTAAATGAAAATTAAAGCTTGTTTGGGGCTTTTTTCGCTGGCTTCTTCCCTACTTTTCCCTCTCAAGCATGATGCTAAGACATAACAAGCTTCCATTCTGAGATTTCAAGGGACTAAGCCATCCATTCCATTCTTTGGTATTCATTCTGCATTCAAATGAAGCGTTTCCTTTCTATGTGGAATCTTCAGTGGGGCTGGGCTGCTTTTGTTATCAGAGGCCCAGCATCTGTCAACCTGCCTGGCTCACTTGAAAGGCATCTTAGAACCTGGAACCTGGCAGATTTGCTGGGGAAGGTGAGGGAAGCTGGCTTTGCTCCCCAAATGCTGGCTGGAGGCTTGAACTTGTGGGGACAAGGGGCTGAGGTTGTGTCTCCAGGAACCCCAAGATGCATCTCCCATTAGCGATCGAGGCCAGCCTTTGATTTCCTGGGGCGTGTTCGTTCTGTTCACAGCTGCCTTCCCCTTCCGTGAAAGTTCAGGAAAGGTTGTCCACATTCATACAAGCATGCTTATTCTGACCCCCAGTGGCAGGCACTGTCATTGGCCTTAATTTGTTCCCATTATCCGCTGTTTCTTTGCTGGGCTGCCCAAAGCCGTCCACTGATATCAGAGATTGCTTAGAAATCAAGGCCTAGAGGTCCATTATTTAATTCATTTAATTTACAATAATCATAACGTCCTGATCTCCAAAAAAATCAACAGAGTAAACTCTTGAAGTTTTCCCAGTGCAGTGGGAGAAAGACTGGATTTGGAGTCAGTTCTGGGCTCAGATTTCAACTTTGCTGTGGACTGCCTCTGTGACTGATATTGAATAAGCCGCTTCAGCCTCAGTTTCCCCATTTGTAAAAATGAGTTGGCTACAATAAATGAACTAAGATCTCTTCCAGCTCTAAATCTAGAATCCTATGATACGCTTGAACTCAATCCCAAACCTCTCTTTTAGCTGTCCTATTTCCCTTTCAACCTTCTGCCCACCCCTGCTAATTTTTTTCTGAAGTCAGCATAAGGAGTTTAATAATGTTTCCAGGTATGTCTCCCCCTGCTGACCCCCAATGTCACCATCTCTACTTTGGCACTGGATGAAGATTGAGAAAAAAGGTTGTGTGTATGTGCTATTCTCACACTCATCCAGTGAGTAGCAAGCTTGGTACCGGTTTTCACGGCCCCTACACCCAGTCTGTGCATTCAATCTCCTTCATTTTGTCACAGGATGTTATTATTTTGACATAGCATTGTCAACTTTGATCAAGGAAGGTCAAAGTCATTTGATCAAGCCTGTTTTGGGACACAGGGCTGGGCTCTTGCTTGACCAGATGCCCAGAGACTCTGGGAAGCTGAGATCCCTTCCTGCTCTCCCCTTTCCTCTCCCTGTATGGTGGACTTCTGTGAGGGCTTTTAAATGGCAAGCAAAAAAACCCCACCGTGCTGTTCCTCAGTTCAAGAAATCCGAGTGCTTCCTTATTGCCTCTAGGATGCAAGACCGAGTACTCTGTCCAGTATTTAAAGCCCTGCACAAGATGCTTCCAGCAGCTTCTCTTTCCAGAGTGATCATATATCACTCCCCCTCACACACTCTATATTCCAAGCAACCTGGCTTACTTTATGGTCCCCAAATTGAAAGGATAGTCCCTAGGCCTGTAATACTCTCCATCCTCACTTTTGTTACCACTTCTGTTGTTTATCATTTCAGTCATATCAGACTCTTTCTGACCCCATTTGGAGTTTTCTTGGCAGAGATACTGGAGTGGTTTGCCATTTCCTTCTGCAGCTCATTTTAAGATGAGGAAACTGGGGCAAACAAGGTCAAGTGACTTACCCAGGGTCACACAGCTAATAAGTGTCCGAGTCCAGATTTGAACTCAGGTCTTCCTGACTCCAGGCCTGGCACTCTATCCACTTCACCACTAGCTGCCCCCACAGAGTTCCAAACATCCTTCAAAACACAGCTCAGGTATCTCTCCTACAGGAATCCTGTCTTCATCCCCACTCCTATCTTATATATGCTTATTTGTGTATTTACTGCTTCCCCTCTCCTAAACTCCATTGAGGGCAGGAAGTATTTTGGTTTTTGTATCACTGGAGCTGAGGTTCCTAATCCTTTTTTGTGTTAATGGACCCCGTTGGCAGCCTGGTGAACCTGCGAACCCTTTCTCCGAAAAATACTGGGATATTTTTAAAATTCATAATAGAAGGAAATGCTAAATTTCAGTTAGAGGTTAGCAAAAACAAAGATGTAATTTTTTTTCTCATGCATGTTCACATAAATCCACCCTTACCCCGGTGCTGCCCTAGAACATTTGGTATGTATGATAAATGTTTGTTGAATTGAAATAAAATTTTGAATAGCAGGCAAACAACTTGAACTTGGTTCCTTAGATTTCCCCTCTGGGGTTCATGATGCCTCCATAATCTCACTTTACTACTCCATCTCCCTTCCTCCAACATCTCCTTACCAACCCTCCCTTGAAATTCCCTATTAAGTACTCCATTGTTCAGAGCGGAGTCTGTGACTGCCCTTTTCCCACATCAAGCTTCCCTGAACTTGCAATGGACGTCCTTGCAAGCAGATGTTACAGGGGAAAAGCAAGGACCAAGGTAACTACTTTGAGAGTGGTAAGAGATTCCACTCCAGCTGGGGCTTAAAGGGATTGAAACGGCTGCTTCTATGAGCTGGCTTTTTGCAACCCCGCAAGATGTAAAAAGGGTCAAAAAAGACCAAGTTTTGAATTACTGCTATCTTCAATTAAGAAAAAGAAAAGGCAATATAGCCTTGGGGATACTTCGAGTATCTGTTACTGACAATCCCTGCAAGCCACCTCGGCAAAGTTGTCAGTTCGACCAAATGTTAAACGGAAAATATTTGCCGAGATTTAAAATTAGACCCACACATTACTTACAGATGTTTAAATGAAAAACACTTGAGAGTGAACCACACCAAGTCATAAACCCCACAATGGTGTATTTTTTATACCCCAAGTTAATTTTTATTATATAAGTAGCCATACGAAGAAGATATTGCATACTGCTTAAATTAAACAGGGAGGAATGAAATCAGCAGTATCCCCTTACAGCATATGGCCCAGCAAATCAAATTACAAAGCTTTCCACATCTCATTAACTGCACTGAGTACAGTGAGTTTTCTAATAAGTCACATCTTTTTCATGAGAGTGACTTATGGTACGAATCCTTGAGGGATGACCCTGGTGCCGAAATTAAGAACTAATCGCCAGTGAACAGGG